TTCTGCAGGAATAAAGCCGGGGGCAAACCTGAGCAGAGAGAAACTCAATGCCTCTTTCTGCGAGTCCCCACTGTGCAAACATGCCTCTATCTTCCCCCCTCCCTAAAAGCCTGTCTTTAGCTCCAGAGGAATGAATTAACACAATGCTTCCTCCTCCAAATCGTTCCCCAGAGATTCCACCAACACAGTTGCATTTCAGCTCTCTTCCTGAGAGATGACCGCTTGTTTGTCTCCTGCTCAGAACGCTATTATCTCTGCCAGGCGGGGTTTATTATTGCCCCTGTTTCCCCCCTCGCCCCCGCCACCCCGGTAAGGGAGGCAGCTTATCGGAGCTGGCTGCTCTCTTCTCGCCCCGCCCGAAGGGGAGAGGTGTGGAAATCAGCGCGGTCTATCAAGTCACTAGGGGGAGTCTGTAACTGACTAGAGGGAAATCGCATTAACATTTTAGACAACTGTGTCCAACGATCCAAGAGAAAATGTAAAAAGAAGACCTGTCTACAGAAATGCCTTGTGCTCGTTTTAAAAGGGTTCTGTGGTTTAAAGTGGTTTTTATATATATATTTGTAAGTGGATTATACTTTTCATCCTCATCCATTCTGGGTAATCGCGTTATTGAAAGGGTATTTCATCGGGAAAATTAGACGTTATTCATTTATACGCTTAACAAATGTTGACATAAAAAAACTCTTCTTTCAGTCTGTCATATTTTCCTTCTTACCCCCGGAGAAGCCAATCTATTCTATTCTTTTTACACCCTTCCACCGATCAGCTCTTTGAAATGACAACACGCTTGTCTCCCCCACAAAGCATCTCTCCCTCCTCTTTCTTCAGCACTGACAGTAGCTCAGCATGAATTTCAGGCGATGCCAGGAAAAGAGGAGGAGGGGGTCCTCAGGAAACGGGAGAATGATGGCAAAGGGTAGAAGAGACTCTTCTAAAGGAACCCGGCGCAGGACCAAGCACAGCTGGGCCTCCTTCTTTACCCTGGAAAGGATTCGACCCGGCCAGGCCAATGCTACAACAACAGCTGCAAGAGCAGCGCTGCGCCTTAACCCATTCCGGATAGGGCAGGGTGGGATGTCGCGCCTGGTGCCCCCTGCCCTACCCTGCGAAATTCTCCGGCACAAGCACATGGAAAGAAATGGGGCCAGCTCATGTATTTCGAGTTAGCTGATGGGGAGAATTTCCCGCGGCTTCCACGCCTGGCAAGAATAACGCTCAAAAGGTCCCTTATGGAGATGCCATGCCTGGGCAGCTTTTTCCGACGTGCATGACGCGAGTCGTCCCCCTAGTTCCAGGAGGGCTCACTCTCAAGCCAGCGCGCAGAGCCTTGACGGTGCCCCTGCCTAGATTTTTGTTCTGGGCCCAAGGAGACAGAGCAGCTGGAGGCCCGACCTGAGAGCCCTGGAGGAACCCACGAGGCGAGCTCGCGTGTCTCCAGTGGGCCGGAGGGCGGCAAACCTCCACCTCGAGCCGCGAGAGGAGGGGCGAGGCAGGCAGGGAGCGAGCGGGAAGGCGGCGCTGGCGGCGTCAGGCAAGGGGAGCTGTCATCTTTTCCGACAGGGCCGGTCCCAGCTTCGCGGCGCGCTCGTCGCTCCAGCCTTAATGGGCGCTCGAGTCGCGCTTCTGAGCGCTTTCCGCTCGTCCCACTAATTTAAAACGAGCCTGACGTTTTCAAAATAATTAACTAAAACGGCAAGAAGCCTGGTGGAGGTTTTGCCCCCCTTCTTTTGCTGTCTGATGGTTACTCATGTCGACGCCGCCACTTGATCAAAGAGCTGGGTAATTATCTTTAAAAAGTTGTTGGGGAATGAAAAGATTTCGCTCTGGCTCGGATTGAATGTCTTGTCGTTTTATTTTTTCAGAAAGGCAAGGAGGGAGGGAGTTTCCTCGTCATTTTCCAGAGACTTTCCCGACACTTTCTGTAGGGGAGCCTCCCCCACAGTCCCCCTCTCCTTCCCTCGCCATATACATCACCGAAGAGAGAGAGNGAGAAGAGAAGAGAGAGAGAGAGAGAGAGAGAGAGAGAGAGAGAGAGAGAGAGAGACCCCTTCCTCCCCCCCCCCGCCCTGTTACCTGGCTGGAGGATTGCAAAGAGTTTTTTGTCACCCGCGGGGAAGTCTTCCCGGCCGCTGAGGGCCAACTCTCGGGACCCTTCTCGTTGTTCCTGGGCGGCGCCGGGCTGTAGGGCTTCAGGAACATGAAGTCGCTCTTGGCCGACTCAGGGGTGAGACAGACTTTGTAGCAGTAACCCGGAGGGCCAGCCGCAGCCCCGCCCTCGCCACCGTTGGGGGCCCCTTTGTGACCCGATGAGAGCTGCGGGTTGGCGTTGTTGGAGTTCTTGAAGAGGTCCGAGGGGGGGCCCGAGTGGTCGCACGAGCAGCAGCAGCTGCTGCCGGAGCTACTGCCTCCGCCGCCCCGGCACGGCGGGAGCGAGCAGCCGTAGTCCTGCAGGTTGAGCCGGTCTTTGTGGCATTTGATAGCCGTAAGGATGAGAATGGCCACCAGGAAGGTGAAGGAGATCGAGCCCAGAGAGACAATCAGGTAGAGCGTGACGGTGGAGGAGCCGGCCTCAGCTCCCAGCGGGAACTCGCTGAAGTCCGACAGCACCTCGGGCACACTGTCCACCACCGAGAGCAGCAGGGCGACGGAGGCCGACAGCGGCGGCTGGCCGTTGTCCCGCACCTGGACTAAGAGGCGGTGCCGCGGGGCGTCCTTCTCCAGGAAGGCTCGAATGGTGCGTATCTCGCCGGTGTAGAGGGCCACGCTGAAGAGGCTGGCGTCCGTGGCCTGGACGATCTGATAAGAGAGCCGAGAATTCTGCCCGGCATCCGCGTCCACTGCCGAGACTTTGCCCACCAGGTAGCCCGGGTCGGCCGAGCGGGGCACCACCTCCGTCGCCACCGAGCCGTTGCGGGGCACCGGGGCCACGATGATGGGCGCGTTGTCGTTCTGGTCCAGCACGAAAACGTGGACGGTGACGTTGCTGCTGAGCGGCGGGAAGCCGGCATCCTGCGCCAGTACCTGAACCTGGAAGTTGCGGATCTGTTCATAGTCCAGCGAGCGCAGCGCATACATGTGCCCGCTGTCCGAGTTGATGGAGACGTAGGTGGCCACCGGCATGCCCTGGATCTGGCCATCCGCGATGGAGTAAGACAGGTAGGCGTTCTGCTTGCAGTCCGGGTCCAGAGCGCTGACCGAGCAGATGGAGGCCCCCGGCGCGTTATTCTCCATCACATAGACGCTGTAGGATGGCTGGAGGAAGCGGGGCGCATTGTCGTTGATGTCTGACACCTGGACCGTCAGAGTCTTCCTGGTGGCCAGCGCGGGGGAGCCCAGATCCCGCGCTGTGATGCTGAGGTTGTACTCGGCCACCGCCTCGCGGTCCAGAGGCTCTGTGGTCACCAGGGTGTAGTAGTTGTGGAAGGAGGATTGAAGCTGGAAGGGTACGTCGGTGGGGATCTCGCAGCTCACCTTGCCATTGTCGCCCGAGTCCCGGTCCAGCACGCTGATGACGGCAATGACCGTGCCCGGCGGGGCGTCCTCCAACACCGGCGTAGAGACCGAGGTGAGAGTCACCTCGGGCGCATTGTCGTTGACGTCCAAGAGATGCACCAGCACTCGGCAGTGGACGGCCACGGCAGAGGGCCCGCGGTCCTTGGCCTGCACATACAGCTCGTGGAGGCTGGCTCGCTCATAGTCCAGCTGGCCTTTCAGGCGTACCTGCCCACTGCGAGGCTCCACGCTGAACAGCTCCCGCACGCGCAGCGGAGCGTGCCCGCTGAAGGAGTACTCAATCTCTCCGTTGGGGCCCTCATCCAAATCGGTAGCATTGAGGCGGATGACCAGCGTCCCTTTGGGCGCATCCTCCGGCAGGCTCACGCTGTAGGAGGCCTGGTCGAAGACGGGCACGTTGTCGTTGGCGTCCAACACCGTGACTACCACCCTGGCTGTGCCCGATCGCTCGGGGATGCCACCGTCCAAAGCCGTGAGCAAGACCCGGTGGCTCCGCTGCTGTTCCCGGTCCAGGCTTCGCTCCAGCACCAGCTCCGCGAACTTGCTGCCATCGCTACGAGTCTGAACCTCCAGCGAGAAAAAGCCGTTGGGGCTCAGCCGGTAAGTACGCAAGGAGTTGGTGCCGACGTCGGGATCCTGAGCACTCTCTAGGGGAAATCGGGCGCCTGGTAGCGCCGACTCGGTCACTTCCAACACGTACTCCTGCCAGGGGAAGCTGGGCGCGTTATCGTTGATGTCGAGCACCTCCACTTCCACCCGGTACAGCTCCAGGGGGTTCTCGATCACCAGCTGCAGGTGAAGGAGGCAGGCCCCGCTGGCCTCGCACACTTCCTCACGGTCGATCTTCTCGTTCACGAAGAGGATCCCGTTTTCCAGGTTCACCTCCAGGTGCTGCTTGCTGCCCGCCCGAGACACGATGCGGAACCGCCGAGCCGACAGCTTAGCCACATCCAGCCCCAGATCCTCGGCGATGTTGGCCACGAAGGCTCCGTGCTCCAGCTCCTCCGGCACCGAGTAGCGGAGCTGGCCAGCCGCCGGGGCCGGAACCAGAGCCAAGCCAGAAGTTAGCAACAGGAGCAACAGCGCCAGCCCGCCTCGCCCGCAACTCCCTGCGCAGCCCGGCAGGCTCCCGCGGCGCCCGAGGTCGGCAGAACCCTCCAGCCAGCGGGGAGTCCCGCCGCCACCATCGGCAGAAAGCATGGGCGGGCTTAGTGGGGACGCAGCTGGGCAGCGGCGGCGGCACTGGCAGCGCCGCAGCTGCAGCCTCGTCGGCTCCTGCCCTCGCGCGTCTTCATCCTCAATGGACTTGGACTTCCAACTACTTTCGGCTGGCAGGGGGAGCCGGCAAGGGAAGACCCGCCTGCCATTTCAGCACCACCGCATTGGTGGACAGCGCCGTCGAGCCCGAGCCCGAGCGGCTGCGCCGAGGACTGGCGGAAAGGTTAACCCCTTGGTGGCCAAAGGCGGAGGAAAATGAAGAGGTGGGGAGACCAGGAGTGGGGAAAGGAGGGGAGGCAGGGAGAGAGAGTCGGGGAGAATAAAAGAGAGGGAGGGAAGGACGCTTTTAATTCTTACACCAGAGAGACTGCAATCATTTCCATGCTGGAAAAGGTCAGCGATACCTTCCTAGCTGTGAGGCGAGGTATTTTCAGCAAAGCCAAGCCTGGCTTCCAGCTCCCTAATGAAACAAAGTGATTGTGACGGAGCATTTGGTGATACTGACAAACAACAACCCGCGTTGGGGCTGGTGCCAAAGCTAGTTCTCCCTCTTCATCGTCGCTCTAAGAAAGGACTCTGAGGGAGCCTCGGTTCTCTGCCCAGAGAAACAAAAGTTCATTTCGCCTGTGGATTCCAGGAATTCCCCGCTTCCCAGATGGCTTCCGCCTCATCACTGGGGTAGATTAAAGAGCCCCCAAACACATCGGAAGCCAAATCCTTCGAATCCTGACATCAGACTCCGTGCATGGATTTAACCTTTAACAGATGGTTAAGCTCCTACAGAACTGATTACATTTTACTGCACACCGTTTGCCTTGTAATGCTGATATTTTTTTAATTACTGGAGAAGGGGATTACATCCCAGACAGCCGGATCAAGGCTGATTCCATCGGCGCGGAGTCATAGAGAAAGCGCTCTGCCTTGCCCCCCCCTCCCCACCCCACCACACAAACACCGATCCCCGCTTCCCGCCCAGCATCCCACCTCCCGCTTCCCCAACACTGTTCTTCTCTGCTTTTGGGTCGCAGGAGTTCACAAGTGCCGCCGCTAATCGCGCGGACTCCTACAGCGCGAGTACAGAACCGCGAAAAGCGCCCGAAGGAGAGAAGCGCCTTCTTCCTTCCACCCCGTCGCTCGCAGCTCTACAGGTTTTACATTAACCTTTCCGCAGAGTAGTGGTCCACGCGGGTTGAAGCGCCAGCCACAGACGTAGGTGGGCGGGCGGAGGAAATAAATTGACTGCAGTCCAACTGACTGCTCAGGACTAGCTCAGAAATGTAGGCTGAGTCCATTCCCTTCTCCGGTGTCAGGAAGCAGTTTTTGCGAGCTAGCCTCCTGCTGGGTGCCGGGCGCCCAGAGGGGATTCCCCCGGGTGTGCAGAAATGCCAGTAGGTGGGGAGAGGAAGAGGAGTAAGGATCCTTCCAGGGTTAGCCTTAACATCCCGATTTTCAAGGCGTCCTTTAAGCTTATATTTGGAAATCAGCAGCGTTCATACGATTCAAACAGGGTCAGAGAACTTCGACTGCCTTCCGGTCTCGTTGTGACAAGAGGTGCCAGCCGTTTTAAATGCCCTCTCCTTCTTTGTCCCCATATGAAAGCAGTTGCCTTTCAGCCCGCCATCCCACCCAACCCCAATTCATCTGAATTACTGCATTTAAGAAATAGGAACTGTTTCGCTAAGAACGCTTGGGTAGAACTCACAAGGGCGTTGGAGCTGCCATGCAGTCCCAGGGAGCAAAAGGTATTTGGTCCATCCAGGCCAAGAGCACCAACTCTGACTGCTAGCAACCTCCAGGCTGTTAGAAAGGATTCTTTCTCAGCTCTGCTTGGAGAACCGTGGTATTTATTCCTTGAGGTGTAATCCTGCCCCGACCATGATTAGCTTCCTAAATTCACGGAGACCTGATGTGTTCAGGGCAGAAACCCTGGTGGCGGTCCTCTCCACTTCGCCCAGAACACAACCCTGTCGCCATCCATGGGTCCTCTTCGCCGAGGCTGCGCATTTCTCCTTCTCGCCAGCATTTAGGCGGATGAAAACGGCATGGGGGGGTCTGAGCTTCTCCTGGCGTTAATTAGGGGATATTGTGGAAGCCAGCGGAGCTTTCCCAGCAAAACCTTCCCAAGTCAGATTTCATTAAAGGAGTGGGGGGTCTAATCCGTTAACAATCTACTTAAGGGATTTCGGAGAGGCGCAGATTTCGGAGGAGATTGAGCTATGTACTGATATCAAGCGAGGGATAAAGGGAGAGATGCGTTCCTTCTGTCGCCGTACCGCCTTCTCTAAACGCATCTTGGAAGAGTGGGAGGCAGCTGGTTCCAGACCGGTGATACCTGAGCCGGACGACAAATACAGCACCACCTCTGTCATCATCTATGCCTCTCCCACCCATAGGCAGTAAGTCAGTGTGCACAGTACCCGAGGCATGTCAAGTTATTTGAGAGTATCCAATGCACAACGCTCTGCAAACGCCTCTTCCCTAACCCAGGCAGCAAAAGCAGATAAGCAATCAAATAAGCAACGTTTTGCCAGACTTGCACAGCACACTGGGACTAAGGATGTGGCAGGGGCCCTTTCTTTGTCTTCCATATACGGTATAGGATATCGCGCGGTAGAGGGGTAAATTTGAAAGTACAAGTGCTCATCATGAGAGGGAGACCAAAATGCAGGTAGCTGGAATGGTCAATGTCAGCAAATGAGACGGTCTCTTTTAAAAAAGTGAATGGTTCTTAATTGCCTATTGAAGATCAAACCGCCCTCACATATTTTGCCTTACAAGAGGAATTACCTGCAGCAACACACTGTTCCACTGAAAATTGTTTTCACACAGCTATCATGAGGATTCAGGCAAGCTCAGAGGGAGTTAGGAAGCCTGGTAGGAAACATGATGTAATGGTTCCTGCTACTTATAAAGTCCTGGATCTTCCACCAGGAAGCCCTGGCTCCAGTATGTCACTGCTGGGGAAGGTTAACAGGTGAAGAATGGTGGGGTGCCGTGATGCATTGGCTGAGATGAAGGGCTCCTTCCTGAGCAGCTTTCTCTCCCCAAACACAGGGTGCAGTTACTAAGCAGTGCAACAAGTTAGGCTGAGATCTTACTGTGTTGGAGCTGGGCTCGGGGTTAGACAGAAAGACATATATGCCTCTTTTGCAAGTAGAAAAGGAAAGCTAAGCCCTGAGGGATCTACTGAGGACACTATGGACTTTAGACAAGGGAGCAAAGCATCATCATCATAGGCATCCTTCAGTCTCGAGAGACTATGGTAACATGCTCTGTATCGAGAAGTGTTCTCTCCAGAGCATGAAGCCTGGGTAAAGTAGTATGGAGGATAGGCTGTTACCCAAGCAGCAAATCCCCCCTTTCCACATTGCTGAAATGGTCCAATGGAAAGGCAAGAGCCAACTCCAGCTCCGCATTTTGCCTCTAGGTTAACTCCTGAAGCCTTTTTCATCAGTGGATATAGCCACAAGGCAGTGGAGGTTTGAAATTGGAGTTTTCCTTCTCCTAGATGGGCTGCCTTCCATGGCTCACAAGCCCCACCTACCCAGCCTGCTCTCTAATAGTGTGGAAGTATGATCCATCCCTTAAAACTTTCCTGCCTCCCAGGTGTATGCAAAGGGAAGGTCAGAAAAGCCTGGGAGACTGGCCCACAAGCACAAGCAGGTTGAAGTACCCCAGCCAGGCCCTGTCTACCTGCCTCTTTCACATCATTCCAGAGGGCAGCATTGCTTCTTTAGTCAGCCTCAGTATAGTAAATTCAGCAGTGACTCTCTTTCACAGCCCTACTTCTTTTAAAAGCATAGGAGAGTCTATTAAAAAGCTATACAGTAACGGGAGAAAGAGCCAAAGAAGGAGGGAAAGAAAGATTGAAGGCACTGTGAGTGAACTCTCATGGAAGAGAGTGAACTCTCATGTGAGTGAACTCTCATGACCCATCATAGACTAACCAGTGGACTTGCATGCCGGTGCCCAGGATGTGTGGATGGTTGTGGCTTAGCTCTGGCAAGCTGCCTTTGTAGCTGTGGTGGCATTGCTTCTGCTCTCCACTGGAAGAGCAGTTTTCCATTTTAAAGAAGTCTTTATTCTATTGCAACTAGACCTGATGAGAAAAAGAAAAGCACAGCACTCTTTGCTAAGGAGTGCAGGCAAAAGGAAAGCCACTATGGGGAGCAAGTCCTCACTTAATTGTGGGTGGAAGGGTGGAGAAGTAGAAACTTAGCACTTTGGAGAGAGGGATTTTGTGTGTATGAAAGAGACAGAACTTGTGGTCTCATTGTGCACAGCATACAAGGGAGTTGGAACACAGTGTTTAATTTCAGAAAAGAGAAGTGCAGGTAAGAGGGGAAGGGGAAAGCCTTCCCATCTGTCCCATGAACTCTTCCATCATCCTGGTGTGCATGATGTATATATGTATCAGGAAGGGAGTAAGGCTGCATAGGCTTGGTGGGAAAAGGCATTCTTCCTCTGTTGCACAGGAGCAGGCTTGAAAGCTGAAAACCCAGCTCCCAACCCTAGCCAAAAAATCTCTGTTCTGGAGGAGGGCCTGCAGCAGTGACAGCAACAGCAGCTGTTCTTGCAGCTGCACACAGAAAGCTGCTTGTTCAGGGTGCTCCAGCATTGCTCCATTCTGAATCCGGTAAGCATCACAAGATAGAAGTTTCCATAAATATTCTTCACTGTTAAGTTTCCCTTCATGGTAATGAGCTTTGAGCAGCCCTGTGCCAGGCTCACCCTTCTCCACTCCTTGGCTTGAATCTTCCCAAATGCCTTCCCATTCAGGCTCCTCTGGGCCTCCTTTCCTCTCTTTCATTGCCCCATTTCTTGATGCACAGAGGGTTGAGAAAGATCAACACAAGGAGAAGAAGGAAACAGCTAACATCCCAAACGACTGAGAACAAGCCATCAGTGACATGAGATGCATCCTGCATAGGCACAATCTGAACACAAGTCCTAGGTACCTGCTTTTTGTCGCCAGGGAATGAGATGATGGAGGTCACACCATTTGCCCTACAAGAGAAGCAAGGGCCAGGGTACTTCAGCTTACAGGAGTGCAGGTCAGGGACTACTCCTAAGTTCACTTGACCAGTAGCCACAGGCCATGAACAGGTAGTTGAGGGGAGGCTTCCCATGCAATGGTCCCCAACTGGCACCTCCCGATCCTGCAACGTTGGGCAGATTGTCCCTTCCAAAGCAGAAGTCACATATCTGGGTAGAGATCAAAGGAATGGTGGCCAAGTTGCAGCGCTGCCTCCAAAGGACGGAATGAGGCGTGTATTTCGCCGAGCCAACGGGGCCAAATCTCTATCACCAACAACCTTCTTTGGGGCAACTCCGAAGCCAGCCTCTCCGCAAATTGGCCTCCCCCATGGGGAAATCTCTCTCCACCAGGAGGCCTCGCACCGACCCGCTGCCATATTGACTGGCTTTGCGTGGCTTGAAGCCTGACTCTGGGCCAGGAGGGGGAGCACGGGCGGGAGGCCTCCCCCAGACTTCAAGTTCATTGACTATAA